CCCGAGTTAATAGTGTACCCGCCAAAATTTTCACGAGGTCGTAGGTGATACTCAAGAGCGCGGGAACGCTGAATTTGAATGGGCATGGTTGAGCATGGGCAAGGGATCATTACTGTAAAATTTAAGCCTCCTGGACTCCGTGGTTCCCCAGATATTAATCCGTAAAAAACTTTCACAAGGCCGTACGTGTTACCCGCGGGTACGGGGAAGCTGAATTTAAATTTGCGGGGTCGTGCGTAGGTGGAGAACGTTCCCCTAAACTTTCAGCTTTCTAGCTTTTGTGGTTCGCGAGTTGAAAGTTGCGGACAAGTTGCTGCAGACACACACACAAACACACACACAGACAACCCCGTGACAATATGCGTTTTGTACTGCTGTTACACAACACAAAACGCATAAAAAGGGGCGGGGGGGGGCAGAAGGTTGTTAAGCACCAAATGTATTAAAAAAATACTTACTGATGAGGCTAATTGGGATTTCATGTTTGAGTAAAGAGCTGTATCTAGGAACTTCATTTTATTGCGGAATTGTTCATATTTTTTTGAGAGGGATGAAATTTTAACGTACTGTTTATGGGATTTAATTTCAGGATCTTTGTGTGAATTATGATGGAACGGTACGCTCATCGGTAGGCGACATAATTGAGTTCACATTCGGTGAGGATGGCCTGGATCCAGCACTGATGGAATCCACGGATGGATGCGTCGTCGATTTCAAACATGTACTAGAACATATTAAAAATACCGTCCCGTATGTTATTTATTTGTTTTTTTGTGTTTACATCTGTATTGATGCGGAAAATAATTCATCTTCCTATAGGCGGGTCGTCTTGCGGGGAGGGGAGGAGGGAGGGAAGAAGGGCGACAGGGGCGGGGGAGAGCCCCCTTCTACGTTGGAACTATGCAAAAACTGGGGACAGAATTATGACACTGCTACTTAAAGTTATTTTAGTTTTGTTATGAACAGAGTCGGGATTTTGCAGCACTGGTGCCTGTGCCGCTGGGAAATGGAGGGGGAAAAGGTGGGGAGGGGGGGG